TTTTTCATTCCTCCTAACTCACTCGGGTATATTCGAAAAGCTCATCATAAGCCTTTCCCTGTGCAATCAGCAGCTGCTTCCCACCAAAGCCAGTGATCAAAAGGATTATGCAGTATTTGGTGAGACTTTAGGGTGTACATTCTAGGTTTGCCTGCTTAGAAATGTCTTATTCATCAAGCCAAACCCTTAAATCACAAGTACGATCAGAGTTGGAATCCTACCATCTTTCCTTTCACTGACACACTTCTTTTTGGCTCTTTGGAAGGCACCTGTTCTCAACCATCACCGCACATCAAATGCATGACACGGAGTACAGAAATTAATGACTGTCTTTTATTGAACTGCCTAGAGCACATTTCTTTTAAAACCAAAAATGCAGTACCAAAATATTGCTATTCAACAGGGACTGCTTTCTGACATCCTGATCCATCCCCTAGGCAAGCCAAGCCTTCCCCGCGCTTGGTGTCAACCCAGCAAACAGAGTTGCGTGGAAAGTGACCCCACAAAGCGATGTCAGCATACACGTACAGGCAGACAGAGATGGAGTCTTGCTCTGAATTGTTGTTTACCATTCCCCATCTTGAATGAACAGTATGTCACACAGTGCTCACCTATCTACTGACTTAAACAAGTCTCCTCCTACAAGCAGTGTGGTGTGTACAGAGCATTTTACACAATCACAGCTGTAACATTTCCCAAAAGCGCTGTAGCTGTCATACAGTTCCAATCCATACTGGCTTCCATGTACACATTCCAAAGGGATTCACACCATTTGGAGGGAAAAATTAAAAAAACATAAAACAAGCAAACAAAAAAACTTGTTATGCTTATTGCAGCTTTAGAAAAAAAACTGTTATCTTCATCGATCATATTTCTCACGACACATGCAACTTGTCCTAAACAATGCACATCCGATTTCACATCCATTTCATATCTATGTAGAGTTAAAAAGAAAGAAAGAAAGAAAAAAAAAAGAAAGAAAGAAAGAAGAAGACAAATGAATCAGTTGCAGTACTGGGCCAAGTCCTTAGTCCGACACAGCATCCTGAAACCAAACAGCACAGTTTGCTTTGGTATGGACAAAAATGTTCAGAGAGCTGCTCAGTGCCATCAGGCACAGGACTGTCACAGCCAGCTAACCTCCCTCGCCACATGTACAATTTCCCTGGCAAATAATCACAGTTCAACAGTTTAAAGCAAACAATTTCCAACACACACAAAAAACAGAGCTTCTATGAATGAGGCTGTTCAGACTTTGACTGGCCTACCATTTTTGCTGAATTACTTCCAATTTCTATTCAGTTCAATTACCAAATTTCACCAAGAAAATTCCTTAGGTGGGAGAGGCTTCATTTGGAACAAAAAGCATGCCTTTCATCCCCTCCTTGCATCAAACTGCGGCACCCACATCGCACGGATTGAACATTGCTGTCACGTGACTGGGGCAGCTCCTTTGCCATGTGAGCATCACGTGAAGAAGGGAGAAGAAGAAAATACAAAGCAGTACAATGGGTTACATCCAGCTTCATCTCAAGATATTCCTTGTGCTAGGCTTTTTATAGCTCAGTAGTTTGACAAAGTACAAGCTCAACCCTGTAGGGCCCTCAGTGGCTTCCTCAATGCCACATCTCTGCCAACAGCAATATGACATACTTTGTGAGACATGGTTCTAGAGCAAAAAGCCAACAGGTTTTTTGCCAACAGGCGAGTGCTCTGAGCAGCAGAGAGCGGGCCTCAGTGAGCCACGACAACATGCAGGGCCCTTGCATCACACCATCCCCAGGCACCTCAACAGGCTGAAAGGAAAACCCAGTTTTCGGGAAAACCTGAAGGCCTTATGCTGCATGGCATTCCCAGCGGACACAGCAAAGCAGTTAAGGTGATCAGGTTGGGTGCTGCTTCTGCTGAAACCACTTGCTGTGACCCTAACCTAGGTGAAGGATCTCAAGCTACCTTTGGATGTGGCTCGGTGAGGTGTCTCAGGTTTGGAGGCTGTATTTTGTGTTGGTATACAGAAGCTGGCCTTTCCAGTTGGTATCTGGAGGTCGATACTGCAGGTTGATATGCAAACTTTAATTGTGTGTGCTCCTAATTGGTGAGGCTGCTACAAGTAAAGCGAGCGGCACCACCTGTTTGACAGAAGCCATCTCACATCAGGGTTGAATAGTGCATGCCAGCTGCAAGCCAGCCCTCCATCCCCTTCTGCTATCACTAACCGGCTGGACAGCGGGGTCAGGAGGGCTTCCTTCCAAGAGGGGAGATGCACAGCCTTAGCTGGCTCCCTATCTCCCTAACTCGTAGCAGTAGCGAGACACGTCCGCCCATCCGAGGCAAACAAATAGTCTCAGTGGGTGAATAAAGATTATGCCTCTTTAAACCAACTGTAAATCTGCATGAAGACAGAACGTACATACACAAGTAGTCAGTGTGCAATGTGACGTCAATCTGAGTTTCACAGATTTATTATTACTGTACATAAAATCTCCTAGTAATAATAACATTCTATGTAAAATACTAGAGCGTTGGGACACTTTGCGGGTGAAAACCATACAAGAAAAATAGGAAAAAGTAGGTCAAGTGTTTAAAAAAAATGCTGGGAGGGAAGCACGCCATTAAAAATGTAAGGGTTGGGGGCTGGAACGCATTAGTGTGAATCTCTTCCATTCGGTGTACTAACCTTGAGAGTTGCATTGCACAGAAGAACGAATTTAAAGGAAAAACGAGAGAAATGCTTGCATTGGGATCAATCAGTTTGCTGTTTATTGTTATTATTCTTGCTTTCTGTTTATTTTGTTTTTAAGCACAGTCCCACCCTTGCCTTGAGCCATCTCTACAACTCGCAGCCACGCTGAATACAACTGTCGCACCTTAAGGATGCACCAGGACACCCACCCACCCACCCTGGCCATGCCGCCACGCTCCATTACGTGGTTAAAGAGAAGAAAAGAACGAAAGGGAAATGAGAAACAACCTCAAGGGAAGGCTGCTCCTCTTGGGACCTTCCTCGCCTACTGATCCTACTGCTGTTTCTTCAAGGAAAGGAGCCACGCTCTGTGACATACTCGTGGCATGAGGCAATGCTCAGCTGACACCTCTACAGATGGGACCAGAGATCTGCGTTTGTGTGGCTGATGGAACACCAAGGGGGAGAGGGAGTGAAGAGAAGTGAAGGCAGCTGGTTACGAGAGCATGCGAGTGGCTAGTAAATCCACGGTGTTTCAGTCACACTGGTTAAGCAATTCTAACAGGTGGCACTCCTTAGCAGCTTTTAGGGCTGCCAAATCCCTCCCTCAGGAATGAGGAAATTCTGGAGATGCAGCCAGGGAAGCATGCGAACCCACTGGAAGATCAGCAAGCGTGCAAGCACATTTCCCAAGATATCTCACTTTCCAGACAGGTCGATGAGCCCTCAGAAGCTGTAATTTATCACATTCAGCCCAACAGCACCCGGGCTAGTGAGCCCAACCAGAGAGTCCTGTGTTTTCCTAGAAAACTTTGTACAAAATCAGCCAAGCTGCTACCAAGAAAGACATGAGCTGCTAAGCCTATCTGGTTTCTCACGTGTGGAGTCTGTGCCAGGTATGGGGTTAGCAATGCTGGGCCACTACGCATGCGCAATGACAGCTTGAGACCATGCAGAGCTACGGAGCAAACTCCAGCAAGAGTAGGTCCCTCTCACCAGTGATTCCCTCTCACCAGAACAGTGGTGAGGACGGCTACAGAGGAGTTAATGCCATCAACCACATGTACCTTCAGAACCAAGCATCCCTCAGCAGTGCCAACACCAATGCCACTACCCACATTGATGTAATGCAGGACAGACCAGCGGGCTCTTGCTGTTTCCCCCAGGCCCTCTGGCTGGCTCACTCCTGCCTGCACCGAGCCGGAGCACCAAAACAAGGTCTCAATTAGTTGCTAATTTCTGTGACTATGGATCCCGATGTCACCCCACGTGCACTGTTCCTCTGCACTGAATCCATCATTCTCAACACCTCCAGACACATCCAATGTACGCGCCTCGCCAGCAATGCTATAATTTTTAATAATGACAAGGGATTACGTGTGATTACTGGGCTTCCCTCTCCTCGTTCCCCTGCCTACCAACGAGCCCCAGCCGCGCTCTGTGCAGCGGGTGTTCTGCCTTCCATTGTCTGTTGGGCTTGGCACGTTCACCAAAACCTCTGCCAACACAAGACCCTGTCTGCACAGCCAGGAGCGCTAGGCACATCCGTCAGGTTCGGAAGCACAGTGTAAAGACAAACGTGGATGCAGGTCAGAGGGCAAGCAGCCCAGCGTACCTCTGCTATTTTCCCACCGTGTTCCCCAGGCCATGAGTGGGCTACTCTGCAAAACGTACTACACGGGCACGTGTCACAGCACCGGCTTTGCCACCGGCCAGCCCCAGATGGGTGAGCCAACGCTTCCCCAGACTTCTGCTGGGACACTGCTCAGCTCCAGCTCTCCCTCTCCCCACCATCCCGGCCCTAAAACCACCCTGAAACAACCACGATCTCCAGGAAAAGGAAAAAAGAATAAAGAAAAAAAAAAAAAATTAACAAAAAGCAGCGAAACCAGCCGGCTACCAGTCTACTGGGTCACGCAGTGGGCGC